GATATCAATAGGATGAGGAATAAGGTCCCCTGATTCTACTCCTCAAACTATCCCACTATCATTGGGTCTCTACTGCACTATATCTAGGTTAAAGGTGACAAAAAAATGTGAGCAAATATTCACATCAGCGAAGGAAGCCAAAAACTTACATTGATAATTCAGTTCAGCATGCATTTCCACAATGTTGGGATGCAAGACCACTGGTTCGTAATGCTTCCAGGTCTCAAGAAGGCCATGAACCCAGATTTTAGCATATGGCTTCATCCAGAAAGATGGAATATTAGTAGTGATAAACAAAAGGAAGAAAGCACACACAATCTACAAATTAAGAGCAGGGGATGGAATGGTACATCAAACACAAATGGGGGAGGATGAAAGCACGCACTGTCTAGAAATGAGGAGACAAAGGATGGTCTGAGTACATCAAACACAGATGGGGGAGCATGAAAGCACGCACCTGTCTAGAAATGAGGAGACAAAGGGTGGTCTGAGTACATCAAACACAGATGGGGGAGGATGAAAGCACCCACCTCCTAGAAATGAGGAGACAAAGGGTGGTCTGAGTACATCAAAAACAGATGGGGGAGGATGAAAGCACCCACCTCCTAGAAATGAGGAGACAAAGGGTGGTCTGAGTACATCAAACACAGATGGGGGAGGATGAAAGCACGCACCTCCTAGAAATGAGGAGACAAAGGGTGGTCTGAGTACATCAAAAACAGATGGGGGAGGATGAAAGCACACACCTCCTAGAAATGAGGAGACAAAGGGTGGTCTGAGTACATCAAACACAGATGGGGGAGGATGAAAGCACACACCTCCTAGAAATGAGGAGACAAAGGGTGGTCTGAGTACATCAAACACAGATGGGGGAGGATGAAAGCACGCACCCGCTAGAAATGAGGAGACAAAGGGTGGTCTGAGTACATCAAACACAGATGGGGGAGGATGAAAGCACCCACCAACTAGAAATGAGGAGACAAAGGGTGGTCTGAGTACATCAAAAACAGATGGGGGAGGATGAAAGCACACACCTCCTAGAAATGAGGAGACAAAGGGTGGTCTGAGTACATCAAACACAGATGGGGGAGGATGAAAGCACGCACCCGCTAGAAATGAGGAGACAAAGGGTGGTCTGAGTACATCAAACACAGATGGGGGAGGATGAAAGCACCCACCAACTAGAAATGAGGAGACAAAGGGTGGTCTGAGTACATCAAACACAGATGGGGGAGGATGAAAGCATGCACCTCCTAGAAATGAGGAGACAAAGTGTGGTCTGAGTTCATCAAATACACATGGGGGAGGATGAAAGCACACACCTCCTAGAAATAAAGAGGCAAAGGGTGGTCTGAGTATGGTGGATAATGATGCATTATAAAGAATGCACCCACTTCCTAGCCATGAGGAAACAAAGGGGGATGTGAGTATCATCAACACAGATGCATGAGGACAAAAGCACACACCAACTAGAGACAAAGACATGACAGACAAGATTGTATGTGGAAGAGGCAGGTGTTTAAGACAAGGATGGAAAGGAAAAAATGAATCATTAGGCCAATAGTGTGAGGTTTGCCATGCCACTGCCAACTGCATACCTTTATTTTCACCAACATCTCACTCATCAGCACCAACTTTTGCTCATCTGTCTTTTGCTGCCATTCAAGTCATCAGTCATGTGTCTCTCTCCCTGCTTCTGCCTCACCTTCAGCAGCTTCCACCCAGTGTTGGCCACAGACCGAAACATGTTTGCCCAATACCCTTTTCTTATCCACACACCGACAACCCTCTCATTCACCATTTCACCCAGCAGTTTCCACATCATCTTATCATCACATCTCACTCCAGCTTCCCGCAAGTGTTTATGCCAATAGAAAACAGCATACTCATTGCCATTATCACCCTGGCTCCCCGCTTTCACAATATTGTCTAAGCAGCTCCTTGCAACCTTGAAGTGTGCATCCCCAGTCAGGATCCGGAATCCAAGCGGTGCACGCCCGCTTGTGATATAATCACGAAAGGATTTGTGCATCTGTGGCGTAGCGTGATCGAACGACGTCGTGGTGCCCGGAATCAAAACGCTGCGCATCTGCCGAAGGAAGTTGGTGACATCAAACTTGTCCTTGGGTATATCAGAAAGTAGCGCAATGATTTCACAAACGAGCAATGGCTTTTGAAGCACGATGATGGTTCCTATGACGTGCTGAAAGCCATCTAGTCGAGTAGCACGTCTGTCCTTGTCTTTTGAAGGCGTGCCGACGTTCTCCCATGATGTCAAGATGAGTCTGTACAGATCTTCAAGCTCGTTGAGGCCCCCCTCGCTGAATTCCTTGAACACGCTCTCTCGACACGCCGTTCCATCCTCGACAATCCGCCGTTCAATCCAGTGAAGAGCAGTTGCGGCATAGTGGAAGAGACCGTTTGCTCTGTCGGATAGCCTCTGCAGTTGGTTAAGATCTGGCCAATCATGCCAATCCGGCTCATCCGGTGTAATTTCCGTCATCCTAGCAACAACAAAGTTGTGCACTTCAATGACAGACAACTCTGTCTCCAGGGAATACTGCTTGAACACCGCGCGTTTGAGCTTTTTGGACTTGGAGATGTCTGCCCAGTGCTCTGGACGCGAGGTGATGATGAATCTAAGGTTGTTTGGAAGGTCACAGTCCATCGGAGCAATGTGGGAAAGGATCTCGATGACGCTCCTAGCCGCATCGTTCAACTCGTCTAGGGCATCAATGAGAATGACGACCACATCGCGTGAATTACAGAGTTCTCGGATCGGGTCTAAC